TCTGGTCGCCACGTTCGGCCCTCTTTTGCATATTGTCAGTTCTAGCCAATCGGCAGATCTGTTCGAGAACGTTTCGATCTTCAAGGAGAAATGTCCTGCTCTCGCGATTAGTCCTCTGCAAAATAGGACTGCAAGACTGTCGTCTTTGAACCGCCAGTACACAAAAATATCGTGGATCCTTCGGTTCCTGATGGCCCAAAGTTCCATCCGCCGTACCAGCGACAAGTCCGCCACATCCCCAGAGTGTGGCAGGCCCATCCCTGAGCCAAGGATGACTTTGAAATACCTCCCTGGCACATGCGGCGAAACGGCACATTGATTATCGAATCGGATGTTCATGGCACGTGTTACTAATTCTCGCTGCTGACCAATGAAGAAGCTAGATACACCTTCGATCAGTTCTGTAGCACCACCAGACATGAAAAAGTCTTTCACGTCCATAGTACACAATGATGCAAGGGGCGATATCTGTGTACTCATTCGTTTTTCAGCTGCGTCTCTGGAATCGCGAACTATATGAGGAGATTGCTTCACTTATTGCCGTAATGCCTTTCCCAGCCAGTGCGAGAGTCCCGCGAAACAAGACTTCCCACAAGCATGTATCTTCCCGAAGGAAATATTATCTGTGTGGTTTGCACGTCTTTACAAGTTTAGCCACGTACGTGTGAGACCTTGCCTTCCAGGATATAGTAATGTCTTTTGCGATTGGGGAACCTTCGTATAGTTCTATATCCCGTGCGAGTTTACAATACGACTGTGCCACATGATTGAAATTGATGGGATCGGTGGAACATTCCGGGTACTCGAGTCCGCTGAGAATTCGCTCATCGATCCTCCTGTTGGCGTCGACGGGGACAAGGGTGTAACCCATTTCCTTGTCATTCTTTGTCGGGGTGTACGGTGCCTTTGACAGCAAGTCAAACGCACGTTTGATCAAAGGGAACGTGTTGCCTCGAGGGCGGTGCTGGAGCTCTCGGATTCTTTGCTGACACGCTGCTGTGATGCTTTGCGTCAGGCTTGATACCCAAAACTCGAGATCTGGAGGCATGCGCTGCGGGCAGCTCGGCGTCGTCCAGCCCTTCGGCTGGTATGCCAACCGCGGTGGACACGCATCGCTACCCAACATGGGCGGGCCTTCTCAGAAGACTCGGGAGTCCCCCGAGCCTCCTGACAAGTTTTCTGTGCCTTCCCCAGAGACGCAGAAAAAAAAACCTCTCAGGAGGCGCGAGAACAGACAAATTGTCTGAAGGCGCGAAAGTTTCTGAGAAATCCAGCCGCCGTCTAGAGAGGAGCAGGAGGAGGAGGAGGAGGAGGAGAAGGAGGAGGAGGAGGAGGAGGAGAAAAAGGAGGAGGAGGAGGAGGAGGAGGAGGAGAGGAGGAGGCAGGAGGAGGAGGAGGAGGGAGGAGGAGGAGGAGGAGGAGGAGGGGAGGAGGAGGAGGGGAGGGAGGAGGAGAGAGGAGGCGGAGGAGGAGGAGGAGGAGGAGGAGGAGAAAAAGAGGAGGAGGAGAGGGAGGAGGCATTTCCCCCCCTCGCTCGCCGCCGAACAGTGCCGCGGCCGCGTCCAGAGCGCCACCCCTGGCAGCCTCTTGTCACCGTCGCTGCTGGGCACGCGCGCTCTGCGGGGGCCGCGCCGGCCGCCGCAAAACGCCAGCAGCAGGAGCGCGGCCGTCGCCGAGCGCCCCCGTCGGGCAGCGCCGCCGCCCGCGCCGCGCCTCCCTGGGGCTCGAAGAAGGAAAAGGAACCCACGAGTAGCCACGAGGAGGGCGGAGGGGGTGAGGATAACAGAGAAGGAAGGCGAGGGGGAGTCGCCTCCAGGCCTCGAGGCCGCCCGCCCCGCTGGGCAGTCGGCGGCACGGCTGCCCCGTGCGGCAGCACCCTCACGGCAGCACTTCGGCAGTACCCTCGTGGCCCCTCGGGCAGCGCCGCCGCTACCCTTCGCCCGTTATCCCCTTTCCGGGCCTCCTGGGCGGCCCTCGTCGCCACCGCTGGATTCGCCTTCGAATTCTCGTCAGAGCGCACCCCGGGAGAGGTCTGCGGAGTAACCTAGCGGTATCCGTGCCACCTTCTGGCTTCCCCAGGGGCGGGGCCGCCGCCCGCGACGCTTCGGCGCGGCACGCTAGCAGCATCTCGGTCCGCAGGCGTCGACGTCGCGAGGCGCTTCCAGCCGCCCGCCCTATGTTGGCGGCGGAGGAAGGTATAACATACCTATACGACCACCCTTCGGGTGATAAGGAGGTTCGGGGGGGGAACCAACGTCTCACTCGATCGGTCTCACTATCGATCTCACTATCGATCTCAGTATCGGTCTTGCTCGATCGATCTCCCTCGACCGATCTCACAATCGATCTCACTCGATATATCTCACCATTGATCTGACTATCGATCTCACAATCGATCTCACAATCGATATCACATTCGGTCTCACTATCGATCTCACTATCGATATCACAACCGCTCTCATAATCAACGTCATCATCATCATCATCATCATCAACAACAACATCAACATCAACATCATCATCACCAACATCATCATAATCGGGACACCGTCCTCATCATCAACACTAACATCATCATCATCACGGTGATCAACATCATCGGGACACCATCATCATCATCATCATCATCATCATCATCACCATCATCACAATCATCATCATCATCAGCAGCATCGGGACACAGTCATCGTCATCATCATCAGCAGCAGCATCATCATCGGGACACCATCATCATCATCATCATCATCATCATCATCATCATCATCATCGGGACACCATCATCATCATCTCATCCTCATCATCGACATCATCAGCATCAGCATCATCAACATCATCATCAGCATCATCATCGTCATCATCGTGGCACCATCATCATCATCATTACCAACATCAGCATCAACATCATCATCATCATCATCACCATCGGGACGCCATCATCATCAACATCATCATCATCACCATCAGAATAATCGTCATCGGGACGCCATAATCATCATCAACCTCATCATCATCGACATCATCATCATCGGGACACAATCATCATCAGCATCATCAACATCAACATCATCATATTAATCATCATCGGGACACCATCATCGTCATCATCATGATCATCAACATCATCATGATCATCATCATCCTCATCATCGGGACACCATCAGCATCATCATCATCATCGTCGTCATCATCATCATCGACATCATCATCATCATCATCATCATCATCATCATCATCATCATCATCATCATCATTATCATCGGGACACCATCATCATCATATCATAATCATCAGCATCATCATCATCGTCCTCGTATCATCATCATCATCAGCATCACCACCGCGGGCCACCGGCCGCCCGGAAGGGAGTCATTTGGTCCGGCCGCGCCTCAGCCACACGGGACTTGCGCGGGACACCGGCGGGACACCGCGGGCCACCGGCCGCCCGGAAGGGAGTCATTTGGTCCGGCCGCGCCTCAGCCACACGGGACTTTCGCGGGCCACCGGCGGGACACCGCGGGCCACCGGCCGCCCGGAAGGGAATCATTTGGTCCGGCCGCGCCTCAGCCACAGGAGACTTTCTCTCGCCTGCCCACGCAGCTTCGCCTCGCCCGCACGCACTGCACGCACGAACACGAAACCGAAATCGATTTCCCGGTAGGGGGGCTCTCCGTTCCACTTCGATCTCACCCCCTCACCTCCGATGTTCTGTTCGTCGCCAGGGGCGCCTGCCCCTGGGCGGCTGGAAAGTGTATACCCCTACGTTGCCGGCGCAAGGGTGTAAACTTTCCAGCCGCCCTGGGACAGGCGCCCCTGAAAGCGAAAAGGCTTGTTTTGTATTGTTCTTCGCCCGTTGACTGTGGAGCGGAGCGGCACGCCATCGGCGCGCACGGCACGGCGTGTCGCCGGGGCCGCCGCCGCGACGCGCTGAGCAAAAAAGTCCCCGACGGGAGAGTTCCGAAGCCTCCGCGCGAATGACCGCCCTGCGAGCTCTTTGCAGCTTCGGGGTCCTCGGAAGGTCAGTCACCAGTCGGCTCTGAAGGGTTTCTCCGAAGGGCTTAGGCGACCCCTCCTCCTCCTCCTCCTCCTCCTCCTCCTCCTCCTCCTCCTCCTCCTCCTCCTCCTCGCTCTCCCCTCCTCGGGTCGCCTACTTCCCTGGGGGGAACTTTCCAGTCGTCTCTGATCGGGGACAGGGATCATGACCATGACCCCATGTTCGCCGACGCCACCGTGCACAGCGTAGTGGATGTTCTCCGGGGTAGGTTCTCAAGCGGGAGACGTTGGATCAAGCATGCCCACTGTGTTTCGAACGAAGGCCCGCACACCGTAGTGTGTATACATATATACATATATATATACATACATACATACATACATACATACATACAAACATGTACATACATAAAAGTATACATGTGTGTGTGTATGTATATATGCACGTAGGTGTGTAGATCTGTGCATGCGTATGTATGTATGTGTATACATGTCGGTGTTTATAGACACATACGCCGAACTCCCCCCCAGTCCTCCACCGACCCGCTCGTCTTTGCCCCGTTTCATCTGCCGTCCAGGCCAGTTCTCTCAGCACCTCGCGTTTTTGTCGGCTGTTGGCACGCAGGTGCCAGAACACAGGACCAATATCTCGAGGGAGTGCGAAGCGAGCCCTCACATCTTGATTATATATACATATATGTATATATGCACGTGTATGTTCGTCTGTCTGTCTGTCTGTGTCTGTCTGTGTCTGTCTGTGTCTGTCTGTGTCTGTCTGTGTCTGTCTGTGTCTGTCTGTGTCTGTCTGTCTGTCTGTCTGTCTGTCTGTCTGTCTGTCTGTCTGTCTGTCTGTCTGTCTGTCTGTCTGTCTGTCTGTATGTGTGTAGTCTGCATGCATGCATGTATGTGTATATATAATGTGTGTCTGTGCGCGTGTGTTTGTGTGTGCATATATGTGCATACGTTCGGCCCCCATGTGGGGCTCCGGGTGAGTCCGGAGCCCCTGCCAGGCCGGCCGTACCGCTACGACGCGCCCCTGCCGGAGGAGTTGCCGGCACCGGCGCCAAAGGCGGCGCAGCCAGCTGCCGCTCCATTGGAGGCGCGGGCAGTGTCTGTGCGCTAAGTCTTCGGTAACGACTCAACGTAAGGATCAGAGGAGACAAAGGTACACCGATCGCTACCATTCTAGCGAATTCGCTTGTTTAGGTCTCCTAGGAGGCCGTCGTCGCCACCGCTGGATTCGCTTCGAAATCCTGGTCAGGACGCACCCCTGGAGAGGTCTGGGGAGGAGCGGTATCGCTACATCTGTTATCCCCCCATAGAGGAGCAGGTTGCGGGCCATTCCTCCACCAGCCTCCTTCCATCTCCTTTGCCACATCCTCCCTTCCTTCTTCTTTTTCGTCTCCCTCTTCTTGTGCAGTCTCGGCAGCAGTAGACATGGCTGACTGCGACAAAGAGACTCCTCGACGATACAGGTTGCGGGTGGTGGGTGGCTTTGGCATGTGATGCGGTATACCGTGGACCAACATCGTAGGCGATGTTCCTCCCCCAATCCCCGAGTCCCGCCCGAAGAAAAGTTCCGCCGCTCGGAACAAAGGGGAAACTCTGGTCGGACGCACCCCATATCGGAGGGATGGACGCCCCCCAATCGTATACAGTCGGGGCCCTGAAGAAGGAACCCTTTTCGTTGGGGAGGGACTCCGCGTTCCTTAAGTGTTTCGCAGCTTGCCTCAGGTTTTCCTTTTGTTTTCGATGGGAAATCGAAGTTTAACTTATGGAAAACAGGGGCCTCGTTCCTTATTTAGGGTTCCTTAGGTCAACGCCCCCACTGTATCCCAGGGGTAAGCCCCACATTTTCGCGGACAAGTCGAAACCCCACGAGGCCTGGGATGGGGGTCGGCATACCCCCCGCTACACCATAGCACAGACGCGCCGAGCGTTGAGGGCGCCCCGCCCCCCCCTCCGCGCAGGCCCACGTATGGCCACCGACCTGGCGAGCCTCGCGCGCGTTCCTGGCCTTCCCTTCCTCCTTCGCAGCGTACGGCCAGGGGTCGCTCGAGGAGGATCGAGGAGGATCGCGATCGAGGAGCATTGAGGATGGGGGAAGGAGGCGCGGATTTCCCCTCGTGCCTTTCGGGTGGGCTGTGCCTGGCAGGAGCGATGTTCCGAGGCAGGGCCGCGTGCGAATGGCAGGTGCGCGGGCGGGGGTAAAGGGGGTCTGGCATTCCGTGCGTGCGTTTCGCGCGTCCCTACCAGCCCGTGCAGTCACCGGCGCCTCTCCCACCTCCAGACCGATTCTGGTTTGTTCCGGTGGGGGGTCTTGTGTGATCTGACATCTGGTCGCGGACGATCAAGTGGTCTATCTTGTTGTGACTCTTCCTCTGTCTCGGCCTCCTTGGCAACATGATCTCGCCCAGCAGCAGATGAATCCTCTTCCTTATTGCTAAACAGTGCATTGGAACCGCGCGCGCGGCAACACACACACACACCTCCTCCTCCTCCTCCTCCTCCTCCTCCTCCTCCTCCTCCTCCTCCTCCTCCTAGCCGCTCTGGTACAAGCAACTTGTGCTTGCGATCACCGATCTTCAGAGCTGCTGGGTGTTCGTGGGCCAGGGTGGCTCTCGCCTTCCCTTCTTTTTCAGGCCGCACGGCGGCGTTTTGATGGCTCCTGGTGATAGGCCTCGTGGCGGGCACTCTAACACGCGGTGGACCTGTGGCCACTGCCGATGCAAGAAGAACACTTTCAGCCTCAAGTGGTGCAAGCACTGCGGGAAGCACTGGAAAGAACTTGTGCCAATCGTGCCTGCCGATGGAGGAGCTCTTTCTGGAGGAGGAGTCGCCGTAGACGTACGCTGTGCGGCCGCAGTCGCAGCTTCAGGAAAGCCTCCACACGCGCGCTCGTCAGCAGCGAAGGCGACCAAGAGCGATCTCAAGCAGTTGGTGGAGTTCAGTCACAAGGTCGGAGACGCATCGCTGCTCTCCATGGCCCAGGCTAAGGTTGCCTAGCTCGAGGCGGCCCCCTTGCCTCCGCAGGCGAGGGCTGACGCCGCCTTCAAGGAGATACAGAAGGTCGAGAAGAAACTTGACAGTGACTTGGAGAGAGTGCGAGCACTCGAGATCAAGCTAGCCCAGCAGCGCAGTGACCTCGACAGTACGCTTCGAGAACTGGATCGGTATGCTGCAGAATACAAGGTGGCGATATCGGAGCTCCACCTGTCAGTGTCCAAGCAGGCCCGTGCGGATGCAGCGGCACCTGCAGCAGGACATCCTGGACGGCAAACTCACATCCGTTCTTGTGGACGACGGCGACATGTTCGGCCTCGGCGAATTCCAGGAGCTCTCCTCCGAGAGTGTCAAGGAAACCGAGACTCGCAAGCAGCAGCTGTCCGAGCAGATCACGTCGCTCACGACGAAGTTGTTCGGCGAAGTCCCGGCGAAACGCAACGCGCCCTAGCAGAGCCACCAGGAGCAGGAGCAGATATTGTCGGAGAAGAAGCGCAAAGTTGAATCCTGTGATGCAGCTGCTGACCCTGTTCGACCCCGTTCCTCTGAGCCGACGCTTGGTTCTGCCTCGTCAGCCTCGGCGCCTGCGGGGAAGGCACCGCCAGCTCAGCCGGCGATTCCTGCACAGCCGCGTGCGAACGTTCGCGAGCAGGCTCGTTTGGCAGTGTCGCGGGCGGCGGTGCCTCCCAAGACGCGGGCTGCAGCGCCGGCAGCAGGCCCGCCTGCCAAGAGTGGGGCCGTTATCCCAGCCACGGTTGTGCCAGCCACTCTCTATCCCCCTACCCTAGACTTCCGACCTCTTGTCCCGTTTTGGACGCCCCAAGACACGTGTCTGCACAGCAACCTCGGGACCAAGGAGATCTTGATACAATGGAGTCGATTGCATTGGAGATAGTGACGGCTAACGACACACTTTGATTCTTAATCGCTTGATTTTTGAAGGTCATCTCGTTGCACATTGCTCGGGTCCCGGAAAAGAAGCTGGTTGCGACGAGGAGCTCAGGAAGGCTTCGGACTGGTGCGTTCGAAATGGTTGGAAAGCTTGTCTCGAACCTGGCACGAAGGGCCCAGGAGGGGGCCATGCGGCTGGGGTTGGGGCCTTGGTCCGATCGTTCCCGGGGGTGCACCGCCCCGATTTTTGATTTCACGATTAAAAAGCATCGGGCCGTCGGAGCCCCGGCCCACCTCCGAGGTCAAGGCTCCATTTGTTATGTTAGCGCTTCACTGCAAGATTGTGCCGGCCTAGAACCCATCAGTCAGGAGATTCTGGCAGCGTTGGCGGCGCGCGTCAAAAGCTTGACGGCCCCCTTCATTGCCGGAGCTGACTTCAACGCCGAGCCGGCTGCGATTGCAGGCTCGGCCTTTCCCGAGCGGCTAGGTGCCGACGTTGCGTGCCCCACTGACGTTGTAGGACATTTTCGCAGCACAGGGGGCGCTGCGATGCGCGACTATTTCCCGCGTTGCTCCCGCCTTGCGATGGCCATCATGAGCGCGAAGATAGTTAGCGATGCGGAGTTGGCGACCCACGACCCCGCCCCTCCTACTCTCCACCCCCCGTTGGTCTCCCTCAAAGCCCTCGCCTTTCGTCGACCTCCCCCCCTACCGACCCAGCGACCTTGTGGACCGTGCCCCGAACCCCCCCGAGAGTGGGATTTTGCTTGCAGATTGGCTTCCCGAGCCCTTGCTACGGCCGAGAAGTGTAATTTTGATCAGACTCAATATAACCTTGATGCCCTTGTCAAAGCGTGGGCCAACACGGCCGACAATGAGCTCGAATACGCGCGCGCCATCGCAGTCTCTCGCACCACGGCAGAAGTTGACGACAGGCGCAGCTTCGCTGTGTCAGTGTTTTGCCGCCCGACCGGGCCTCCATGGACGGCGTCTCTTCGACGCCCCGCCGTACTTCGCATCCCCGCTGGCTTAGCAATCGTTTCAGGCTGTGGCTTCGGCTGCGCGCCATTGGCGAGCAGCCCGAGCCGCGGTCCTCCTCCCCCCCCCCGTTTTGCCCGTAGCGGAATTGAACATATCAGGTCAGGAAGCGTCGAGCGCGGCTCGACGAGGATCAGCCATCTGGTCAAGACGGCTGCTGATTTGTTTAACCCTCCTGTCAGGCTTGGCCCATGGGCTTCAGAGGCCCACAACTTGCTCGTGCGCTGCCAGGATGTCGCGTCGCGTAGCTGGCCGGGTTCCCCCGGGGCCGTTTCGGAGGAACTTGGGCGCGCCCTCGATCCGGTCTCCCGCGCACGGGGTGCGGCCGAGAGCGAATCCAGAAACGATGATCACAGGAAATGCGTCGAGCCGTTTCGCGCGAACATCGAGGCGGGGGCCTGTCACGCGCACAGCGCTGTTAGGGGGGCCCCCGCTTGGACCCCCTCCACCACCCTCAGCTCGACAGGGGGGGCGATTTCGGATCCCCAGGTTCTCCTTGTTTCTGAATGTGCGAAATTATCTGGCCCCTGGCATGCGGAGGACGTGCAGGGCCACCCACCACCCTGGGGGAAGTTTGACGTCCTCGGCCCTCTACCAGAGCTTACACCCGAGGACCTTCGCCGCGTCTCCAGGTCCTTCCCAAGCATGCAGCGGCCTCGGTTGACGGATTTCACGTCAGCAACTTCCAGCATTGATCGCGTTTCCAGGGTGATCTCGGCGATCGGACGATCTGGTCTGCTCCCGATGCAGGTGCGGGCGTTGCTCTTGACCGCGCTCGCCAAACCCGATGGTGGCCATAGGCCGATTGGTATGTTTGTGTCGGTCTCTCGTCTGCGGGCTCGCGCCCAATGGGATCATGCTCGTAGGTGGGAAGTTGCTAACAGTAGGGAATACTTTGCAGCAGGCTCTTTCGGCTCGAGCGTGGACACAGTCTGGCGGCAGTGCGTTAGGAGCGAGCAAGCGATCTCCTCTGACTTGTGCTCCAGCTCAGCGCTATGGGACCTCCTGAGGGTTTCCGAGTCAGTTGAGCTCGACCTATTGTTCAGCGCTGTCGCCGGCACGGTTTCCCGATGCAGATTGCCAGAGTTTGTGATGCAGCGTGCCGCGCCTGCCTTTACATGGCCATGAGTAGCAGGGCCGCGGGACCCAAGTTCGCATGGCGTGGCA